ACCCCCAAACCCCGAGCCCCCCGCCCTCCCCCCGCTGCGGGGGCACCTTCCCGGACGTCCAGCGCCTTCTGGAACATGAATTTGTAGGGTTTGGTGAGGTTCTGCTCGGGGCCCCCGAAGAGTTTGACGGTGCAGCCGCTGCCGCCGCGCCAGGCCAGGCCCTGGACGGAGCCAAACGAGGCCACGACCTCGCCCCGGCCCCCACGGGACGAGTATTTCTGGGAGGGGGTGATGCTGTGGGGACAAAAAAACCAAGGGTGGTTTAGGACAGGAGTTGTCCCACCCTGGAAACTCCGTGGATTTGGGGTTTTCCTCCTCTCTGTGAGCCCGTTCTAAGAGCTGAAAGAGAAACCCTAATGAATTCCCTGAGCTGCAGGCAGGGCATTTTACCAGGGATTAATGATTTGTGTTGATTAACGAGGTTTTAAAAATGACAAGTGGTTGTAGCTTTAAAGGTTTTATAACTGCAAGAAGTTCAGTGGGGTTTTAACAATTTCCCCCGAATTTACAGAGTTTTGGGAATGCTCCACCCCAATTTCCACAATGGTGGGATTTTAAGGGAAAAGAAGGAAAAAAGAGGGAGAAAGGAGCGGATTTCTGGAGCTGTGGTTTCACCCACCTCGGGGAGAAGCTGCCGGGGGAGAAGAGCCCGTAGGGGCTGCGGGATGACGGCGCCCGCTTGGGCCGGGGAGTCTCCGGTGTGGAATTGCTGCGTTTCTGGGAGCCCTGAGAGGGAAAAACCACCAAAAAAAATGATGTTTCCAGGCTGGTTGGAAGGCAAGGCCCGTGGATTTGGGGTGATGCCCACCTTGGATGGGGTGGCGTAGGCGTCCAGCAGCTCGTCCTCCTGCTCCTCGGTGAGGCTGACGCTCGTTAAGGGACACCAACGCTCCCGGTTTGGGGTGGAACCCACCCAGGAGCCCCAAATCCAAGAATTCCTCCCATTCCCGGGGATCTGTGAGAGCTCAGGGAGCCCCCAAGTCCTGCCCGAGCCCCCCAAAGCACACGGGACAGCCTCGGGGTGTGGGATACAGCTCCTGCAGCGAGTGGATGTCGTGGAGGAGCCCCCGGCGCTCGTCCCGGCCGCGGCGGCCGCGCTTGGCCAGCACCTGGGACACGGGGGGAGTCAAGGAGTGCCCCCCACCACCCCCGGCTTTGGGGTGCAGGGGGAAATCGGGGACCCCCACCTCGTGCTCGAAGGCGTCCAGGCCCTCCGGGGTGAGCTGGGGCTCGAGGTCTTTGCTGGTGATGAAGGCCAGCAGCTCGTTGGCCAAGGCCACCGGGCCCAGCCCGTGGCTCAGGCACAGCTCCACCACTGCGGGGAAAAGGGGGGTCACAAATCCCACCGAGATCCTCCCCAAAAACCTTTGGGTACCCCCCAACCACCCCCTCAAGCCTCTGTGCCCCCACAAAAGACGGCAGCTCGCAAAATCCCGGCCCCCACAACAGCTCCCTGTGACCCCCAAAGGAAACTCCGCCTAAAGCAAATAACCCCTCACAGCCCCCCGGGTCCCCAAACGCCTCTGAGGATGTCCCCAGTGCACCTGACACCCCCAA